TCAAAGGGAAATGCAGGTTTGTCTCTTGCCGAGTCGACTAATTATGAAAAATAGATCACAGAGAGCTTCAAAAATAAACATACAAGTCACAAAAACATTGATCTGAAAGATGTTTAATAGTAGTTAAAATAACCAGGTGCACTTTGAGTACAAGGTATGGAAAAAGTTGCTCTTCTTAGTAGAAGTACTTCTCCACATAATATTCCAATGAATTAAATATAGATACATTAATAATGTTAAGAAAACAATTATAATGCAAAAAATGCCTTATTTGTATAAAAACTGCGTTGAATTTAGTTCTATTTTTGCAGATGTCTGAAATATGTCCAATTTCCCATCTTTCCAAACACTTTAGTTCACGTTGCAGAAACCAGAGCTCCACAATGGTCGCTTGTCAGAAACATGTAAATCCGTCTAGGATGTGAGCAGAAACCAAACCCCCCCAACCTGAAGTTTATTCACACATTACATCATCATCTGGATCCCCCTCCACCATTGGTCAGAAAAAAAGCCACCATCGTTGGCCCCCTTGGTGCCAACCCACCTACGGCCAATTTCACCTCGATTGGGGAAAAAAAAAAAAACCTGCTGGTCGTAATCTGGTGTGACGTCGTTAATCCCAACACTACAAATCACAGATCCCTTCCACCTCAGGTCCACACAGACCCCCTGAAATCTGTGCCGGCTGCTTCACATCCGCATCAGGTAGGTTTCAATGTCTGGCTTGTTGGGAAGACAGTAGAGAAGGAACAATGTGGCTTCATTAGGGGGGATTTCAGTTATTCATGCAATCTTAGAAAATTTGCAAAAGTGTTTCATTTCATTTATGTATAATTAGGTGCTTGCAAACAAAAAAAAAGGTCTAAGAAATGCTTTTGCATGTGTCGAAATATTCCAAAATGCTTCAGGATTAAAATGAAGCTCTAATATGTTGAGGTGAAAGCAAACATCCACTGACGACCACAGGATGCCTGTTTGCAATGGACCCAAAAAGGCTGTCAGGGTTAAAGCTCCTGACAGATAATCCAGAAATAGTCAGGTGCCAAATATAGCGCAGTTAGGAATAAGGGGATTAACAGGAGCACAGAGAGATGATTGTTCTTTGATTTACAGGAATCCTTCAAGTCCTGCAGATTGTCCAGAAGCTGATCTAAAAAGGACCAAGCATGGCTGTCGTTGTAAGTACTCCACCTTCACTCAGTCACAGCTGCTTCTCTAACTTTGCTGTAAAATCAGTAAAAATCACTATAGCTTGTAAGCTGAAGAGTGTCCTCTCATGATTATTATTTTTTTTTTTTCTGTTATCCTATTCAACATTAATATTATTTAACTGAAAGAAAATCCCCCCCCCCCAAAAGCAAGCGTTGAAACATCTCTGATGGCATCAGATTTGGCTGTCATCAGATCGGTTTGTATTAAGTTTAGTTTTTTTCAACAAATCTTTAAAAGCTATTGATTAATTTTCTGTATGGCTATGGCAAAATATAACACGGCATCAGCAGATGGCCGCTCACACTGAGCCTGGTTCTGCTGGAGGTTTCTTACTGTTAAAAGGGAGTTTTTCCTCTCCACTGTCGCTACAAGCATGCTGAGTGTGAGGGATTATATCTGAGTCAATGAGTCGATGCAATCAGCTGGATTTCCTTAGATAGAAAACTTCCAATCAATGTGACTGGATGATCTGGTTGAACTGGAAAGTGCCTTGAGATGAAATGTTGTGAATTGGCGCTATAGAAATAAACTGAATTGAATTCAATTCAACTAATGATCTTGTTTTAATGGTAAAAATTCTCATTCCATTGGCTGATCATCTTATTTTCATACTCAAATTAAGGCACTTATCTTAAGAACATTTTACTCATTCTCAGAACATTGTTGCAGTGTAGATTTAACTGAAAAAACAAACTATTTAAGGTGAAACAGAATCAGGACTTTTTTCATTTTTACCAGAAGAAAAGATGCAAGAAATGACACTGGAACATGAACAAACCTGTGCGATCATTGTCACCAAAATCCACAGCAAGTTCATTGTTTCCAGGGCGTCATTAAAGCCAAACCTGTTTTCAGCTCAATTAAACTGAAACACTGTAGAAATCGACATTAAAATCACCGTAACGTGAACCAAACCAGCTGATCAGCTTAGATCTCCTGCCTGTTCTTCCAGGAACTTTGAAAAAAAAAAACAACAACAACAAACAATTGTTTTGGAAGCTTATTTCCAAGTTAACATTTGTTAAAAAAGCAGGACTGGATGGCCTCTTTAAGACTTTGTGAAACCAGCAGCTACAGCTGAACTCTTTACAGTAGCCTGAGCTTCTAATCTGTGACCCCGCTTCACACGTCGTCCTCCATGTTTACAGGCTTTTCTGGTCTCATGTGAGTGAGATTATAAAAAAAGCAACACACTGAGGTCTATTGATTATGGCCCAATACCATTTGGGAACAATGTGGATTAGATGATTAAAGCTTAAAGAGCACAACCGGCTCATGTGACAGAATTATCCGGACGTAACGAAGAATTCGGCTTTTTATCCGCTGCCCTTTACCAATACGGACTGCTTTTAGGACACATTAACTGGACATGTCATTATTTTTTACACGGTCAATTATGAACCTCCTCCCATTTCCTGTTGGCCTCCAGAGGAAGCATTTTAATCCTGATCTATTGCCATCTTTTTCATTTAAACCAAATCATCAGTGATATTTGGGATCAGTTTCTGATGCCACATCCAGCCGGTTCCAAGTTTCAAAAGCTGCTGGTTTTAGGAATTGTTCCAGCGTGCCGCTCAGCATAATGTGGCCACCACCCTGCTTCAAGGTTGGTTGCAGTATTCTGAAGTTCCCTCTTAATTAGTGTTTTTAGTGTTTATGGGATGGGTTTTACAAATTCTGTTTTTATAGGAGGAGTTTGCCAGAATAGGAAAAATAAGCCAAAGGCCTGACTTTTAAAATCTTTAATCAGTGAAGCAAAGATGGCCGTTTATTGTCCCGCAGAGACAGACTGCAGGAGGGAGCTCACCTTGATGATGTGGCTCTGTGCAAGTGCAACAATAAAGCCAGATTAAGGCTCCAGCATGCAGGTGGCGCAGTGTTTAGCACGCATGACCCATGTACACAGGCCTTAGTCCTCGACGTGGCTGACCTGGGTTCAAATCCGGCCTGTGGTCCTTTGCCGCATGTCTCTTATGTCTCCTGTCAGCCTACTATCAGAAAAATTAGCCACTGCTGCTAAAAAAAAAAAAAAAAAAGAATATGGCTGGAGTTTCACTTCCACAGAGCCACACAGAACATGGAGGATTTTATTTAACTGTGTGGTTTTAACCTCATTTTATGTGCCGTGTCAGATGAAGGACAACAGGCTCCTTGTTTAATGATTTTTAGCTGACACTTCTTTTTACCTTAAGTGATTTTTAACTGACTTTGTTTTACATCAATAATTGGTTCTTTTGTTTGAATTTGTTAAAATAAAGTGTTGTTAAAAGCCAAAAATCCATACAGTTATATATTTATACTCCAACCTTTGAAAATATCTTTGAATTTTAGTAACATGGTAGTCGTGACTGGAAGTAAAAGGAAGCTGAACATTAGGGTAATGGCAGGGAGGCTTTCCCACCTTAAATACTTGGAACTCATTATTAGATAAATTTTTCATTTTGTTTTGCTTCGATAACTGAGGACGATTTCTCTTATTTCATTTGAATAAAGCTGTAAATAAAAACATAAATGTTTTACTCCTTTTACATAGATTGACTATATTATTAGAGATCAGCTTTTCTGATATTTTTTCAGGTTACATATTAAATGTTGGTGTTTCCTGGGTTATTATTCACCATATCAAACATCTTTCATCATGCAGCCGTTTCAGTCGGGGGCTGAAATATGGACACAGTTTAAACATCCTCAACTTGAACTCTGTTACAGATTTACAGGCCAGTTCTCCAAGCTGAACATCTGCAATTGATCTTTACCATTTCTGATTATTGTAGAGCTGAAACATGCATATGTGCTGCTTAGTAACGAACATTTACACCAAACATTCTTTGGATGGAAGTTTTTACAGCTTGGCTGTTAAACCTCGGGTGTTATAAGGTTCAACAAACTGGGTTGGAAATCGTCTATCTGTAAATAAAGCTTCTCTATCGATAACAGGGCTGGGTGCAAACACGGCCCGGGAACCTTTGGCCCTGGCATTCCACCATGATTTTATGAGGAGATACACAGGAAACAAGAGGAGAGAAATTATTCGAGTGAAAATGGCCACTTACAAATCAACTGAACATATCATCTGATTTGTTATTTTAAATAAAATTAATATGCAAAATATCTAATGATTAATTACACATTTTTAATTACATTATGACAGCTGTAGCCGGGCCCAGAAATGGGGGTGGGCCCTGTTCGCCCAGTAGCCAGTCCAGTCCTGATAAATCCATACAGTAGTTTCACTGGCTATGAAGGGAAAGCAAAAATGTTGCAGTAATTTCATTTGATGTGATTAACAACTATTAAAAGTATAGTATAGGATGTTCTTTTTCTGGGTGGATTATCAGAATCAGTGGGCCTCCTAATTGTCAATCATTCTGGTGAAATGTTTCCGTTAGGCCATCCTACGTGTTCGTCCCCATTTTCACGTACCACTGGTGAGTCTGACATAGCGGAGAAATTTAAAATCTTCTTTTAGAATTAAGCTTGTTTGAGTGATGCAAACAGCAACTTTTACACCAACTTTGCATGAGGCAGAAATGGGCTTGTGCACATTCTTGCACGTGTTTAATAGACGTTTCCTCTCAGGAGCGGGTACAGGGTTGTGCATGTGCATTTATTTTTAAAGTGGAGAGGTCTTTTAAGAAATTCACTAAAATCCTCCACTATGCCTTTAATATTACAGTACAGCTGATTGGTTTGTTTAGATTGTCTGTAAAGGTCTATTAATGTTCAGCTGTTGTTTCCCCTCAGAGTGGAACGTACCGCATGGTGTCGGAGGAGGAGCAGGCTCTCAGGGCCAAGCTGGAGCATCTGACCGTGAAGGACCACGGGCCCGTGTTCGGACCCTGCGCCAGCCTGCCAGACCACACCAGACAGAAGGTATTCAGACAGCTGTGCTCCTGCACAACATTCATTTTACAAACAAGATTTCCTTTTTATCAAAATATAATCAATTTCATTGTATATTCAGTTTTATTCCTCTATTCTAATGTAGACATGAGATAATCTGACTTCTGAGTAAAAAAATCAACATATGTTATTTTTAAAATGTTTTTTATTTGTAGTTTTAAGCTGACTGTAATAGCTTAACCTTATTTTACTCAGTCACTAAACTTCAGATTATTTCCTCATTATTTTCCTGGATAAAGGGCCAATAAATGGACAGTAAATCTACTTATAGTCACAACTAAAAACCAACCATAAACCTGCATAATGGTTCTTCAAGATTCTCAACAGATTGGTTTGAAATACATTGATTCATTGGTTATGAAAAACCAAACCAGTCGCCCTCTGTGTTTGAGATGCGTTTAAACTCAGTATGTGATGCGATAATAATGGTCAGGCTGGTTCTCCATGCAGGCCAAAGACGAGCTGAATGAGACGGATGAGAAGCGAGTGTCTGCAGTGAAGGAGCTGCGAGCGATCATCAAGGAAAAGGCAGACGCTGGAGATGATCTGGCCAAGGGGGTGCAGAGCACCTTTGGGGAGAAACCAGACAGTCTGCTGGTCCGCTTTATCCGTGCCAGGAAGTACGACGTGGCCAGAGCCTTCGATCTGATGAAGGGTGAGTCCAAATAACAAGCGGTGAGGGCTGTGATTAATTAGATGCATTTTAATCTGTACTGACTGGTAAAAATGTACAGATTTTGTTTCAAGAGGTAGAACCGACTCTTCCTTTTCACTCTCTCTTCAGGATATGTCCGTTTCAGGAAGGATTACCCCGAGCTGTTTGAGAATCTGACTCCAGAGGCGGTACGGAGCACCATCGAGGCCGGATACCCCGGCATCCTCCACAGCAGAGACAAATACGGACGTGTGGTTCTGCTCTTCAACATCGAGAACTGGGACTACGAGGAGATCACCTTTGATGAGGTGCAGAGCTTCAGGTCCTCCCCCCTCCCCCCCAGAACAGAGGACGGTATACCATCAAACCATAACTGGGACAACCTGTTTTCTGTGCATTCAGATCCTGCGGGCCTACTGCGTGATCCTGGAGAAGCTGCTGGAGAACGAGGAGACTCAGATCAACGGCTTCTGCATCATTGAGAACTTCAAGGGCTTCACCATGCAGCAGGCTTCAGGAATCAAACCTACTGAGCTTAAGAAGATGGTGGACATGCTCCAGGTGGGATGGTCATCTGATCCAGTAGCTGTGCTGAACAGGAGCTCAATCTGTTTTGCTTGAACATTGTCTGTGTGCTGATGTCTGTGTCCCACCAGGACTCCTTCCCTGCACGGTTCAAAGCTGTGCACTTCATCCACCAGCCCTGGTACTTCACCACCACCTACAACGTGGTGAAACCCCTCATGAAGAGCAAGCTGCTGGAGAGAGTGAGTCTGAGGCCTTTCCAAAGCGCTTCGAATGCTTCCACATTTCTGTGCATAATCTGATTCCCTTCATTAAAGAATCTGAATGTGTAGCAGACTGGAAAACGTCCTTCTGATTAAAATACTCGAAGCAACATTACACGGCAAAAATGAGTAAAAAAATCCTAAAATAAGTGTATTTACCCTTCATCTGAGTGGGTAAATAAGATGATCTGCCATTGGAATGACTATGTTTAGGCTTAAAAAAAGCCTAAACATAGTCATCAAATATTATTGGTTTAAATAAGATTACTCCAGTAGTTTTTTTCTGTAGTTTACAAATGTAAATCTTATAGCTTCTTATTGCACTGACAAAGTGCATCACTTACCCGCTCAATTCAACACAAAAATAACTTAAATTAAATAAATTTAAAGTGTAGAAACATAAAAAAAAAAAAAAAAAGAAAACAGAGAACGGAATTCAAAATCTAAACTCATAGAGTCCTAAGAAATTTGACTTTAAATTCTGCCCTTAAACATCAGAATTCTGAAAATAAAATCAGAATTAAATGGCTTTTTTTTTACCGTAAAGTGGAGCATCTGGTGACAGGACAACTTTTAGCTTTCCACTCCACAAAATTGGCATTTAAAAGCTGAAGGAAGAAATAAAAACTAAATAATCATGAAGAAGAACTGGCCTGAGCTACACACAGCTCAACTTTGTTTATAAAGTCCTTTAAAACAACCACAGCTGCCACAAAGTGCTGTTCATGTCGGGTAAAGTTAGAATTGTATAAAAACAACTCAGATGTTAAAAGTAATAAAACCAATATAATAAAATTTATTTATTAAAACAAAAAAGACAAAAACAGAGAGTCTCCTGCTGTAATAAAAGACAAAGAATTAAAATAGGTTTTAAGTCGAGTTTTAAAAATAGACAGTGAAGGGGACTGTTTAACGAGGATGCTGGTGAAATGCTGGTGAAGACTTTCAGCCACCCAGGTCTTAAGTCATTCCAAAAAAGTTCAAAACAATCCACTGGACCTTGTTTCCACGTTTGAAGACATTTCTCTTCCATCCAGGAAGCTTTTTCAATTCAAAATGTCAGAAATAGCATTTAGTTCGAAGCTTTATAGAGTGGACCAAAAACTTGTCTTGGCTTAGAATGCAAATTCTAAACAAATGCAAACTGAAGCAGAAGAACGGGTCTGCCCCTTAGGAATGGGGGTCATTTTGGGTGCTTTGTTAGCCTGCAATACCCGATACCTGTCTATGTCTCTGAAAGGGGGGTCGTTAGGGGCAATTGTTGGCTGGGCTGCCCAGATGAGATGTTTTGTCCCCTACATGGGGGTTGAAATGATAGCGGGAAGGAATTAACTGTGTTGTAGGTTTTTGAGAGCTGGAATCTGAGCCCCCCCCCTCTGTTTAAGATTGTTTTTTCTTTTTTAACATAAATGGCAATCTTCAATCCTCCCTCATGAGGAGCAACAACTGATAAAGTTGTGTCTCCTCTGAGCTGCCTCACCTCAAGGAGCAGCAGGTCAGCTGACCTGAAGCACAGAGTGGGAGCATAGGGGTGAAGAAGCTCAGAAAGGTAGGGAGGGGCTGATTCATTTAAAGCCTTAAAAGAATCTTAAAATGAACTCTAAAATGCACAGACAGCCAATGGAGGGAGGCCAGGATGGGAGTAATCTGCTTCCTCTGATGCACTCCTGTTAAAAGGCCGCATTTTGTACTAACTGGAGACATGCAAGGGAGGGGAGGCTCACCCCGGAATAAAGTGCGTTACAGTAATCCAGCTGAGATGTAACAAAGGCATGGATTACAGCTTCTAAGTGATGCCTTGCAAGAAGAGGTTTAATCTTGGAAAAATGTCTGATAAAAGCTGGACTTTACTGTAGAGACAGAGAAAAATGTTCATCTTGCCGTCTAAATCAGAAACAGAAAGGTTCTGCAGAATCTGGCATGCATTTCAGAACACTGGTTACTTGTTGGAGTTAATGCATGAAAAAGAAGATGTCTGTAATCTGTATGAGGGGACAAGTGACTCATGTGGACGGATTTCATTTGCTCTCTTCTCTGTAGGTGTTTGTCCACGGAGATGAACTGGAAAACTACTACAAGGAGTTTGACCCCGAAATTCTTCCATCTGAGTTTGATGGAAAAGGTTCCAAGTATGACGGCAAGGCCACAGCGAGCAAGCTGTTCGACTGACCGTCCTCCATCCGGTTACAGGCAGCCTGAGGCCTGAGATGAGGGGGAGGGAGACTCGACAGACCAAGCCAGCTGTGTGGCTGTAGGGAGAAAAGTCGTGAATGAAACACTGGAGACGGGATTTCCACATGTTCTGATGAAACCATGTGATGCAGATAAAAAACAGTTTATAGAACATTAATTGATTTTAGCATTTAACAAAGTTATTATCCAAGAAGAATCACTTCACATTTACACTGAAACCTCCTAAGAGGTCAAATGTCATCCAGAAAGCTAACAAGTCATCTATGAGTCATTTGTCCGACACTTTCCTACACCTTCCTGAAAAGCCCCCAGATTTCCACACGCTGTGGTCACAGCTGAGTCACTTCAACGTGACTGGGAAACCCGGCCCACGTTCTCTGTGTAAACAGATTTATTATTTGTTTTACAGATGTCAGCGTTTTCCCATTTTACTCGCCAAATGAAATGCATCCAGTTCAGAAGTGAACCTTCCATGTCTGCCCACTGTTCTGTAGAACTGGGTTTGTTTGAACAGAGGTGCAGCCACACAGCAGCCAGGCCACAGCTTCCTCTACTCTCCACCTCAAGGCTTATATGTCACCAAGTGCCTGACTTTTGTGTTTGATTAGATTCATTTTCAGTGTTAGAAAAATATCCATAAATTTCTTCAAACATCCTTCTTTAAACACCAGTGATGATGTCAATAAACTGTATATAAATGTGGGTTTGGCTTAATTCTTTGATTTGCATATTA